TGCCCACATAGGATGCTCCCACATGGGTGCAGGGGCCCAAGGACTTGAGCCATCTTCTACTGCTTTCCCAGGCCACAGCAGAGAGCTGGACAGGAAGTGGAGCAGCTGGGCCTTGAACCAGCACCCATATGGGATGCCGGCACTTCAGGCCAGGGCGTTAACCCGCTGCGCCACAGCGCTAGCCCCTAAATCATCAAATTCTATCAAACATCATTTCCTACAAGTCAGTAAGGCACACTGATTGGTCCTTCGCTCAGATCACGTCTTTAGAGAAAATATCCGCTGAGGCTATGAGGAGCTGCTACACCCTTGGTGTGGCCCCAGTCCCTAACGGGAGAAAGTCAGTATGGACCACCGCGTGGAGGACAAAGTAACTCCTGCTTCTTGGTGTCTTCAAGACAAGGCCTTGGATCTGAGGAAGAACTGGTTACTTAAATCAAACATCCCTTAGACTCATGTCATCATAATGTCATCGGCAAATCCGACAGAAAGTTGTCAGAGTTTCTCCCTGATCGCGCCAGCCCCCGGGGCTGCACACTGAGCTGAGCCACTGTGGCCTCTGTGGCTGAAATCCCTTCCAGTTCCAGGTGTTTTCCGCTTCTTCAACTGTTTTCTCTCGAAGCACCAGCTGCCTCCCCTCCTCTGTTCACCCTCCGAATGCCGGCATACACCAGGGTTTGTGTGTGTCTGCCTTCTCTTTACACCCTCTGAGCTCTCCCCGAGCAATTTCTACACTTGAACAACACCAGATTCTCACCGGTGGGAAAAGAGGGAAGTTCAGTCAGTCCCAGCCAGAAGACACTCCCCACCCCAAGACTCAGAGCCCCTGTGGGAGAGACACTGTGTGTTTTGGCTGGGGGCGTTTGGGACTTAAAAAGATTAAGATTTACTCTATATTTAATCATAAAAATACACCTGCAGGAGTCATCTTCAAAAAGGTCATGGAAAATGACCTTTAAGAAAAAATGCATGATTTCAAAACTTTTTTATATCAAAATAAATGGATAGTTTAATGTCATTTTCCGTGAACTTTTGAATTACTCTCGAATGTGCTGGAAATTTTGAAAATATAGAACTATGTATTTTTGAAATACATGTATTTTGGAAATACAGAAAGTTTGGAATCTCAGAAACATAAAATCACTTGGACATCTGGCATCGAGCATATCATTGCAATTTTTAAAATTCAAGTTAGAGACCTTGGGAGGGGGCACTGGGCACTCGATCTGTGGGATCTGGGAGTGTTGTCCTAGCTCTGATCTTAAAATATGAAAAATAAAATGTCTCAGAGAAGGGGCCCAAGCCAGTGGCCAATTTCACCTGGTGCTAGGTCGAACAGGGTTGAAGGAGATTCTCCAGAACTCTTTCCAAGCTGTCCAGCAAGTGTGCCTGCCTCAAGGGAGCTGAGTTCAGAGCCGTCCCTCTTCTTGAGCACAGCCTGCCCTGGGACAGCACCTCCCCACCAAGAAGGGACCTGAGACAGCCCGGAGCTGGCGTCACAGGAGCCTTAGAAAGGTGGGCTTCCAAGCGAAGCTGAATCCCAGGCAGATAAGAGAAAAAGGCCTCTCCCGCCTCCAGGAAATTGGAGGGTGGGGAGTAGGGTTTTTTTCTTTTTGAATGACTCAAGGATTTAATTCGCCTTTAAAGAGCTACATCTGGGTACAGAAGACAAATGGCCTTGGACAGCAGTCTTAGTTCCTGTCTAGCAGCCTTCATTAAGGTGACTGCTAAATGCTTTCATTAAAAAGGGAAAAAAAAAAGGCCCACTACCGAAGGAAGGGTGTCCTGCAGAATTCAAAGGAGCACGCCTGGGGTCCCCGTACGGAAGGATTCTCCTCACTGGAGGCCCCAGGTAAACAGCAATCGCGTGAAAAGCTGTCACAGCGAGTGGTGCCGCTAAGCCAACACTGTAAAGCAGCACCCCCTGAGGGTCCAGTAACGACCTCGGAAACTGCACTCTGCGGCCTCCTGACCATCTGCAGTGCAGCGACAGCCTGCGATTGTTCCCTCACATGGGCGCTTTTCACAGAACGCACCCCAAGCCAACGCAGCACAAGTGGGCATTTGTTTCTGCCCGGGACTTGCTGTCTGTGTGGGTGAATGACGCAAGCTTCTATGACAAGGAGAGGCAGTAGAGGGCGGAAAGTGGACTCCGGACAAAGGCGTCCGTGTCTTTCATCGCCTTGAATACTCACATCGGCCTCTGGGAGCCCCCAGCAGCACGTGCTGTGGGTGGATCTTGCATAATTTCACGTCCATGATGAGCCACGGCCGTCTGCTAGCACTGATGACAGGTTCGCTGGTGTGGGGCTGGACGTCAGGGGTGAGATTCCCCCTCCTGAATACAGCCAGGAGCTGCAGCCGCCGAGTCCTCAGTGGCCACGGGTGAAGCGGTGGCCCCGGGGACTCGGGAGCTTCCTGCTGCACACGGGGTGGATCAGCGACCTCAGGCCTTTCCAGGGTTTCACGCTCTTGGAGAAGCTACATTGCGCTACTCTGCCACACCTTGGACTAGCGAAAACAGTGCCCCACAGCAAGCAAAGCCGCAGCAGAACCAGTTTAACAGCTTGAAAGATACTGAGTCCTGCAACTGCCTCATGCTCTTCCAAGTCCTACGAAGTGCGTGCTTTGTCAAAAAGACACCCAGGGTCTCCTAGAGAGGCCTGAACTCCTATATTAAAGTCCTTAATGTAGGCGTCCTGGTCTGTCCCGCAGGTTTAACCACCGATCACAAGAATTCGCTGAATCCAGGTAGCATATGACTGGCCCTACAAGGCTCAAGCCTTCATCTGTTTTTCCAACAGATAAAACTTGGATGGCCAGCATTGTCCAGGGGCGTTTTGCTCAGGAAAATTCCAGGTCTGGGGCAGAATCTAACTACCACCTGCCTGTAATCCCTCAGACCAACTGAAGCCCACCCAGCCATCATCAAAACTCACTGACCAATCAAAGGAAGGCCACGAGCACCACTGACCAGCCAGGAACTTGGACAGGAGCTGGTCATGCAGCTCTCAGGCCCAATTTCAATCTGTAAGAATCTTCAGCTCTAACCCCATGGGGATGCCAGGAACCAAGCGATGGCTGCCTGGCTCCTTGCTCTGTGCTTTGCACACACCTACTTCCTTCCACCACTCTGATGTCAGTGATTGGCTTTCTGTGCATCAGGCAAGTGGACCTAGGTTTTGGGATTCTATAGCAATGCCTCCAACTAGTCTGGAGGAAAAGAGGGTGGCCTGAGATGACTCTGAAACAGTTGGGATGGGTGAGGGCTTAGACCTACCCCTTAGAGACAATACCGAGTGGTGGAAGACATTGAGTTCTTTTAGGGCTTGCACTCTATGCCAAGAAATAGTGGCCATGCCATACACAGGGAGGCCATTGTAGGCCCGGGGACAGACCATGATGAACTCTTGAACTATATTGTGTGGCTGCAATGGAGATTCAAGAGCTACTTACAAGATCATTGTTGTGGCACAGTGGCTGCCTACAATGCTGGCATCCTATATGGGTGCTGGTTCAAGTCCCGGCTCCTCCACTTCCTGTTCAGCTCCCTGCTAAGACCTGAATGAAGGTCCAGGCTGCTGGCTTCAGCCTGGCCCAGCCCCAGATGCTGGGGCCACTTGGGAAATGAGTGAACAGATGAAAGATCTCTGTCTCTCTCCCTTTCTCTGTGACTCTGCATTTCCAAGTAAGTAAGTAATTTTTTTTTGGTTGGATTAAAGAGCTATGTAGGAGAACTGAGAGAAACTGCTGAGTGACAAGCTATGGGGCAAAGGAAATGGAGCTGGGTGGGTCCAGTGTCTCCTTGAGCAACAGCTTTGTGTTAAAGATGTTCTCTCCACACGGCAGGCCAATGAGATCTTTAGATCATGGCCTCCGCTAAAGCTTGAAAAATAATTTATTTACTTGATCAAAACTTAATGCAGAGGCAAAGGCCCCTGGTGGCCTCTGTTTTGTGGGTGAAAACCAGAGATGTGGTAGGTCCTGGTCAAATATTAGCCTTGAATCTCAGGACCCTCAAACCTGGCGGAGGCTGACTCTCCAACCAAGAACCTTGACTTTGAGCCTGACGATCAGTTTGGGAGCTGTTTACTCCGTATCAGTGATGAGCGATGCAGGGCGGGGCCTTGTGCTGAGCCCAGAGTGACTGATAATGCCTTAGGTAGGGGACCCACTGACTCTAGCTCTAGACCCCTCTCTCTCTCGTGGCACAGGAGCCATGACTTCAACATCTGGTGGGTCAGACAGGTCCAGCCACCTTTCCCCTTTGGGGGCAGCCTCTTTAACACAGGTCCTGTGGTCCTGTGTTGAGAGCCCAGCCCCGAGGACATCAGGCCTTAGGAAATGACTCCAGTTTCCACTTCTCACTGCACTGACGGGCTGGCCTGCTCTCTGTTAACCAAGCTGCTGTTTTAGCGAGGGCCTCTAGCATCTGCCGGCCCCCCACAGGGCAGCCCTGAGCTCCCTTCCAAGAGCATACCAGGGCAGGTGTCCATCACCCTTCTGTGGCGAGTTCTCATTTGTTCACCAGTTTCATTTTCACTTCGTCTTTGTGCTCCATGCCTTAGCCCTGCTGAGACTGCCTGGCTTGGACATCGCCCTCACTCTCAGCCTCAGGCCCACAGTCCATTCCCCAGGACTCAGCCATAGCTCAGTCCAAGATTTCAGCAGTGAAATAAGGCAGTAGAAGAGGCATCGTCACACATACCTTACAACAACAGTATCATGACTGCCAGCCCTCCTAGCACTCAGCAATGGACTTTCTCATAAAATTTACACACACACAAAACCAAACAACTACTTTATGGGTAAACTAGAAACTTAGGAAATGTGTTAATTCTGTAGATTTGCAACTTTGAACACAGTACAAAAAAGTGAAAACAGGCTAAAGTATATTTTAAACAAGTAAAACTCCCAAGGTGATCAAAAACACGATGAGCAAATTAAGATTTTCTATGGAAATGCAAAAATCACCCCGTACCTGTGAAATGCACACATACCTCCTTCCACCTATTGGCTTTCCATGAAGGGCATCTAGGAGACCTGCAGGCTTTGTGGGTTCGAGGTTTGGGCAGGTGACTGCAGTATTTTTCTCCCACTTTCCCTTGGAACTGGTGAACGCAAAGCACATCACGGTGCTTTATACCTTTCCCACAGGAAGCTGAGCACTGGAAAAAAATACATATGCATTTGGTTCCTTTTTTCCTGGCATTGAAGTTTATCTTCAAGAAGCATAAAATGAAACAAAAACATCATGGCTTGGGTATTTTATGAAGATATGCTCTGGTATTTCAAAGTAGAGAGAACCTGGAATGTGCCACCTGCCCCGGACCATACCACGGATGCTCACCTCGGAAGATGTTCATTCATTCTGCAAAAAGATACCAATTGTCTGCAACCTCCCCGACACGCCACTGGTGCAAAGACTCTTCAGCTCTCGTACAGTGGAAGACTGGCTCCTGCTAACCCCTTTCACCAAGCACAATACAGTATCACTTGCTTTCAAGTTTATAAGGACAGTCACCCCATCTCTTTCCAGCCCATACACTTTTCCAGACTCAAAGTATGTTTATAATGTTTAAAAATGCAATGATCTCTTAAGGCAAGAAACAGAAAATTTTATTTTTTGAAATGAAATTCAGCTTAATCTTGTTCTCTTAAATCAGTCTGGAAATTGTATGACTCTACTGTTAGCCTTCCGATATATTTAGCTTTAAAAAAAAAAAGTACACCATACCTTTAAAATATAGGGAAAACAATCGTTTCATCTCATCTTTGAGACAGCTGTCATTTTTTGAGCGAGGCCAGCGCAGTGCAGTGGAAAGAGCATGGGCTCTGGCACCCAGTGCTGGTACTGTCAGCCGCAGCTGGGGAACCTGAGGCATTTCAGCACCTGTCCATGCCTCGGCTTCTCCACTTACAAAACAGGGTCGTAACACCCATCTCATGGGTGTCACAAAGATGAACATGAGAAAGAACACTGAACGTCTACTCCAGTCTCACTACACATGGAGTACTTCCATAAACTCACTTCCACTTCTACCACCTTCCTTCCTACAGTGACAGGGATGACAATGTCACGTGCCAGGGTCCAGCCACCCGAGAAGACACGGGTTCCAGGCAACTCCTGTCACTCCTGCGAGGCAGCTGCTGATCTATGGTTTCATTTACAATGAGTTCCAGGAATACCACATTAGGCTTGTATACTATGAATTTTATGCACACTGTATTAGACACAATTAGGGTATTAGAGTAACAGATTATTAGACACTTAAAATACCCTAAACTTTTTAAAAAATTACCTTTTTGTATTAATGCCATATCCAGTATGTGTAGGTAACTAACTCAGTGCCTTGATGAAGAATCACTGCTATCATACCCTAGATGTTCCCCAACCCCACTTTCCATGCCAGTTAGAATGTGCCTGGCACCGTGAGGCCTCTGCTGGATCCGTATACACTGCACTAAGACAGCAATCCCACCTCCTGTGGGTACAGATCCACCTTTAAGCTCTGCTTTTCCTGGCCACTTGCTGTGGGCAGTGCCCTATCTCTTCCTTTTCTTCACTGTTAATTTTCTGAAGAGTACAACACATTGTATACAAAAACACAAGCATCAAGCATACCTTATAGGAGTGTGCCAACTACACACACGTTCACACATGAAAGACTTCTTATAGGTGTATTTTTTCAACTTTCAAATTATGACTTTTGCACAAAGGAAGTATTCATTACTCTCCAGGTTTAGTCCCTTTTTAAAAGAAATAATTATCTTGAATAGTCATTAAACACTGCCTCTTGCTTTGCCCTTGCCTGTCTTCAAAGTGCTCCTAACCTGGATGACACACTGCCTATGAAAGAAAAGCCCAGGACCAGACGCCTTCACTGCTGAATTCTACCAAACCCTTAAAGGAGAACTAATTCCAATTCTTTTCAAACGATTCAAAATAAATGAAAGGGAGGGAATCATGCCAAAGAGCTTCTATGAGGCCAGCATCACCTGAATCCCAAAACCACAAAAAGATACAACAGAGAAAAAGAACTATAAACCAATATCCCTAATGAACACAGACACAAAAATCCTCAGAAAATACCAGCATGTTGAATCCAACAAAAGAAAGATCATTTACCCCGACCAAATGGGATTTATACCTGGTGTAGAGAGATGGTTCAACACACACAAATCAATAAATGTGATGCATCATATTAACAAATTGAAGAATAAAAACCATATGAATATCTCAACAGATGCTGAAAAACATTTGATAAAACAGAATATCCTTTCATGAAAAACACCTTAAGTAAATTGGGCATAGAAGGATCACTCCTCAACAGGATCAAGGCAATGTATGACAAACCCACAGCCAGCATCATATTGAATGGGGAAAAGTTGGAAGCATTTCCATTAATATCTGGAACAAGACAAGGATGCCGCTTTCATCATTACTATTCAGTATAGGTCTGGAATTTTTAGCCAGAGTCACTAGGGAAGAAAAAAAAATCAAAGGGATACAAACGGGAAAGGAACGAGTCACGCTATCCCTGCTGGCAGATGACATGATTCTCTATGTAGGGAGACCAGAAGACTCCACAGAGACTACTGGAGCTCCTCAGACAGTTTGGTGAAGTTGCAGGATATAACAAACACACAAAAATCAACAGCCTTTGTATACACAAACAATGAGAAAGACTGAGAAAGAACTTGTAAAATCTGTACCATTCAAAATAGCTACAAAAAATTAAACACTTTGGAAAAATTTAATCAAGGATATGAAAGAGCTCTACAATGAAAATTATAAAATATTAAAGAAATAGAAGAAGACATGAAAAAATGGAAAAAACCTTCCATATTCATGAACTGGAAGAATTAATAGTATCAAAATATCCATACTACCCAAAGCACTTTACAGATTAAATGCAATCCCAATCAAAAACCAATGACATTCTTCTCAGACCTAGAAAAAATGATGCTAAAATTTATATGGAAACACAAGAGACCCCAGATAGCTAAAGCAATCCTTATCAACAAAAACAAAGCTAGAGGCATCACAATACCAAACTTTGAGACATACAGCAGGGCAGTTACAATCAAAACAACCTGGTACTGGCACAAAAATAGATATGTGGACCAATGGAACAGAATAGAATCCCCAGAAATCAATCCACACATCTACAACCAACGAATCTTCAACAAAGGAGGTAAAAGCAATCCCTGGAGTGAGGGCATCTCTTCAACAATTGGTGCCAGGAAAATTGCATCTAAGAATGCAGAACTATGAAACAAGATACCTAATATACCCTATACAGATATAAACTCACAGTGGATCAATGATCTAAATCTATGAAGTGACACCATCAAATTACTAAAGGAAAACATCGAGGAGACTCTGTAAGGCATTGGCATAGGTAAAATCTTCTTGGAAAAGGCCCCAGAAGCACAGGCAATGAAAGAAAAATAGGCAAATGAGATTGCAATAAGCTAAGAAACTTGTGCACTGCAAACGAAACACTTAGCAGAGAGGAGGCAACTGACAGAACAGGAGAAAATATTTGTGAACTATGCAACCAACAAAGGATGAATATGCCCAGGACCCTTAAAAAGCTCAAGAAACTCAACAACAACACAACCAGCAATCCAGTTAAGAAATGGGCAAAAGACACGAACAGACCTTTTTCAAGGATGAAATTCAAATGGCCAATAGACACATGAAAAAAACACTCAGGATGATTAGTCACCAGTGAGATGCAAATAAAATCCACAAAGAGGTCTCCCTCACTCCAGTCAGAAAGGCTATCATTCAAAAATCATAAAACAACAAATACTGGTGAGGATGTGGAGAAAAAGATACCCCAATGCCCTGTTAGTGGGAATGTAAATTCATATAACCATTAAGGAAGACAGTATGGAAATTCCTTAGAAATCTGAAAACAGAGCTACCATATGACCCACCCATCCCACTCCTGGGAATTTACCCAAATGAAATGAAATCAGTGTAAGAAAAAGTTACCTGTACCCCATGTTTATTAAGCAGCTTAATTCACAATAACTAAGATATGGACTCAACCCAGTTGTTTGTTAACTGATGACTGGATAAACAAAGTATGTTATACATAGAATATGGAAAACCACTTAGCCGTAAAAAAGAATGAAACCTTGTCTTTTGTAACAAAATGGATGCAACTAGAAACTATTATGCTTAGTGAAATAATCCAGTACCAAAAAGACAAATAACAAGTTTTTCCTGATTTGTGGTAACTAATATACAGATTACGAAAAAGTAATGTCTATGAGTGAAAGCCATTGTCTTGAAAGTTGATTATTGTTTACATGCCTTGTCTATATTCAAGAAACAGTGGTTTTTCTACTTAACTACTTGTCAAATTCTTTATTTAGTAGACAGCTAAACTTGTGATTTTAAAGAAAACTGAATGCATATCACTGTAAAATTGAAAGAAAAAATAAGGAAGGAAGGTGGGGACAGGATGGCAGCATGGGTGGGAGGAGAGACAGGTTGTGGAGCACCACTACACTCTTAAATGTGCAAATATGACACGCATGAAAAGTGTACACCTTACCATCTGTGAATGGACGGATCTTAAATCATATTAAACCCGCTGAAGATCATAAAAGCAAAAACAGTACAACACACTAAATACCTTTAAAATGACAGAGACAGGACAGACTTAAGAAGTTCATGGAAATTAGCCATTTCATCCTGGATATTAGGTAAGTACTCAAGGGTGATATTAAACTCATCTGTGCAGAGGGAGGTTGTTGATGGAGAAAGCTGAGTAGTCTTATGTCCTTGTCTGGCACACCTTATCTAGATACTAACTGTGTGTGTCTGTTTTGCACAATTCCCAGACTCACTCACTGAATACACAGTACACTGTTGATACTTCTGATAAAAATCACCAATTCATTTGCAACTATGTAACATAAGGGGAGAAAGATTAAATTCAAGATTCAACTTTGGAACTTAGCGACCTATTTCCTCATTGAGCAGCATCAGGGAGTGTGATGCAAACTCTAACTGTCCAAGTTAAGGTTCTCAACATTGAGGAGCCACCTGTTCTGATGATAGCTCAGGTCATCTTTGATTCTCTCTCTTCTTTGTCATTTTAATTTATTAGCCCACTCTAGATTGCTAGTAGTCTCAACTATTAAA